GATCTGAAATGTAGGATAAAGTAATTAGATAGATAGTCTTTTTAGCATTTTGAATTTTTTAGTTAAACAATATAACGAATTTATTGGCATTAATGTTAGAATATAACATTTTTCATTCATCATTAATTATTTTGTTTGAAAACTTATTTAAGAAACTCGTCATTTTCTTCTTCTATTCTATCTTGTAATGTAAATGACGAACGGATCAGGGTAGACGATAACAATTTCGCCAAAATAAGCTTCAAAGTATCTAGTAACAATTTAAAAGATATGACCCAAAAGATTAAGGAGAATATGTCCATGTTGTTAGGTTGTAAAATCCGATTTGCCAATTAAAATTGCTCGAAAGAATTTGATATTAATAAATTTATTAAAAATATTGTGTAATGTGAATGGATAACTAAAAAAAAAAAAAAAAAAGCTTACATTGCGTTCTTTTATTTTTTTTAAGTGACTTATGATATGTGGTGGTTATTTATTACTATTTTCATTTTTTTTTTCCTCGATTCTTTTAGTATTTAGCATTTTAATTACTTTCTTATATCTTGCTTTCCGAATTTTATCATGTAATTGTTTCTGGCAAAATTATTGTTGAAAAAAAACATTTAATTAATTCTGTCATTGTTATATTATCATCATTGTTTTCGAGTTTCCAAGATAGGTAGGATTTGAAGGATGTTATTTCATTGATGTTTGAAGATTTAATATTGTCTAGTAATACCTGTTTTTTAATTTATTGATATTCTTGCATAATAATAATTTTTAATTTCTCCCAATTTTGGTAATCATTGTCCATTATTTTTAATTTTTCATTTACATTGAGCTACAAACAAATTATTCTTAAAAAACAATGAGTTTGCCACCAGAAATTCTAATTGATGTATTCAAATACATTGAAGATGATTATAAAACATTATATTCTTGTACTCTTGTAAACAAACAATGGCATAATATCAATATTCCAACTTTATGGAGAAATCCATTTTATTCTGTTGACAGCACTAAAATATTAATTAATTGTTTATTGAAAGAAGATAAGGATTCCTTGACTGGAGTTAAATTAGATTTTAAACTATTAGGGAAACCACCATTATACAATTATGCCAGATTTTGTACTATAATTGAAAGTCAACATGATTTTAAACAACTGGTGAGAACTTCTGGATCAAAACCTTTACAAATTTTAAAAACTAAATTAGAAAACTTTATTTTAGATTATTCAGCAGGTATTAGAAAGTTTAGTCCTTATAATATGGATTGTAATTTATTAATGAATCATCATAGATTTGATGATTGTTTTCAGAATCTTTATGAATTAGTTTATGGTATTTTTTTAAATGAAATTTGTGATAAGTTAGCAAGTATCTGTAAAAAGATTCAATCATTTAGAATAGTTTGTGATAGTTATGATGTCAAAGGTGTATATAAATTGGCACAAATAATTAAAGCACAAAATCAAATTAAATATTTAAGTATTACATCAATGCGTTCAATGCATGGACAAAATTTACCAGATGAATTAAAAGAAGCAATATTAACACATTCACAATCAATAATTTTTTATGGATATTGGGGCAATGGAACAGATTTTACTAATTTATTATTGCCAACTTTTAAAAATTTAAAGACTTTTGAGTTAACATCTCATAGTAATTGTTATAATTACAACATAACAATTTGGAAAAATATTTCACTGCCAAATATTGAATCTGTGAAGTTACAAATTGATTATAAACGAAATTATCTATCAGATTTGTCTAATTTTATTAATATCAATGGGAAAACTCTTAAAAATCTGGATTTTGATGGCTATAATATTTGGGGATTTTTGATTGAGCTATTTCAATCAATTGCACAATCTTGCAAAAATCTAGAAAATTTATCTATAATGTATAAGGATGAATTAGACCAGGAGTTAATGGAAGTACTTGATAACTGTATTAAATTAAAAAGTATCACATTTAATAATCATTCTGATAAAATAGATGGTGATAGACTTTTATCAGTATTAAATGAAACATTACCAAAAAACTTAAAATCAATAACTTTCAATTCTAAGTTTTATAATATTAGTAACCATCCTTTAAATAGTCTAATGAAGAATTGGAAAGGATCCAAACCTTTAGCAATAAAATTTTATAAAGAAAATTTGCTAGAAAATGATGGAGTAAAAAAAATATTAGAAAAATATCGAGATTTGGGGTTTTTAATAATTAATATTATTTTATAATGTTATCAGTGGAGAAGATTTCAATTTTATGTAATTTTTTTATTATTAATTTATTTGTCATGCTTTATTTTTATTATAACAGTTGATTGACATTTGACATTATTTGTAGTTAGCATTAATTTGATGTTAAAGATGATTAGTGACAAGATGTGGTCTCTGTCAAATGTAAATTACAGTCTTGATGGTTACTAATTAATATTTTCTTATAAAAAGAGCTGAGCCCCTTTGGTTCTGAATGCTTTCCAATATCTATAGTTTCACATTCATCAATTTTTATTTTTTCACATTTGTTGATTTCTATTTTTTCATGTTCATCAATTGTTACTCCCAATTTCAGTTGAACATGCATGATTGCAACAATAGAAATTTATTTTCAATTAAATCTCCAATGTTTGATGGAAAATCAAATACTTCTCATCCCATGATTTATTATCTCAATTTCTTTTTCAATGTAATTTAAGATTGTTATTCCATAATCTAAAATTCCACATTGATAAGGAATTTCATCAATATAATAAATTTCATTTTGATATTCTATAAAATTCAAATTCTAATAATCTACTAATTGGAGCTATATAATATAAAGAATCATCAAAATAAATTTTCTTGGTATCTAAATCTAGTTTTACAACTCCCCAATGATTATTGCTTGCGTGTATGATTATATAATATTTTTAATTTTTTCTGATAAATGACCTAATATAAATTATATGCGATATCAAATTTCCCACCATTTAAATGACTGTGTAAATATATTGGAGCCAAAATAAAACATTATTTTCATTGTTGTCATCTTTGAACGCTTTAAATATTTCAAGTACTCATTCAATCACCATATAAAATCTAAAATGGTTACATTTAAATTCTCTCTTAAATTATTATATCATCTATTAGTGCTTAATAATTTTTCTCCAATTTGTTTACTTTTCATTTTACTATCAATCCAATTGATTAAATTTATGAAATTAGTTTAAAACAACATTGCCGTATGCAAGTTTGTTTATATTGTTCAATTACAAAATTTTGCTATTCCAAAAGAAGGTATTTTGTTTCTTTTTTTTTTTTTTCTCAATATCATCATTTATTTGATCAATTATTTTTCTAATAATTCATTCTTAATCACTTCCTTTATTGTCAACTCTTTCCCAGAATTGTTTGAAAAGATTTTAAAATCTATGGATGGAACAAGTCTTGTTTTTTAGGAAATTTATTTCTTCGCAGAAATAAAATTATAACAATTTTTGTTTTTTTTTATTTAAAACAGTGTTGTACAAAGAAACTCCTATTTTTTTTGGAAAAACAATTTATATTTTAGACGAAGAGTCCAAGTCCAAGTCCAAGACGAGTGAGCAAGCATTCATTGAAAAACGTACCAAAAGTATTGTTATTTGGTATGTTATGGCTCTGAAAAAGAAGAGTGGTGTTTATTAATAACCAGAGGTGCTTTTTTTTATATAAATATTTTATTGAAACAAAAACGCGGTGCAAGGTTTATGTCTTTTAGGTATTTATTATAAGACTCTTTATCATAACGAATGATTGGTGATTTGCTTTTCGTAACCGTTATTAATATTAAGCATATAATTATAAGAAAATGTCAAGAGTAAAAAAAGCAACACAACTGTTGAAGGTGGAAAATGACCCCTAGATGATTTGGAAAAGTAAATATGCAACATTTGATCATTGGAGTACAGATTTTAAAGTGCGCTACTTTGAATATTTAAACACTACAATCACTCTCAACTTCCTTGTGTAGATAATGCTAAGCTGATCGAGACGCCCCTGATGATGCAAAGATGCAATGAAATTCCAGGGGGCTTGCCCCTGGAGTTTCAAGCGTGAATCCTGATTTTCCTCACAGTACCTGGACTGGTATTATTTAGATAAGCATGTTAGCCAAAAAGTTACCAGACTCCTAGGGTAAATATTGCTCTGCAACTAAGAAAGTGTTAATCGAAGCATCTATATTACGATACCCAAACTTCAAGAAACATTTTATATTCTATACAGATCGAAGAGAAGGAGTAAGTTGTAACTCGTTTCAAGCTCAGGAGGTTGAATTCAGAGCGGGTTTGGAGATTCTGAAATTCATTTAAATTGCATTTTGGCTCTTTCTTTTTCAAAGAGCCTGCTGGATATCTTCCACGTTCGGGCACTTTGTCCCAAATGGTCACCATAGTCTCTGGCATTAAGAGGAAAGCCATAAATCAAATAGTTCAAATTTGGTATGTTCTATATAAATTAGCTATTTTTCTAAATTCTTGATAAAATTTTATTTGATCAACCAAATTTATTATTTTTTAAATCGGTAGGGGGAACCAAAATTAAATTTAATATATAACTTAATATAAGGTTTGCAATAGCATCATTTTATCTATAATATTTACTAACATTAAAGTTTTTGAAATTGTCTACTGTAATGAAATTAATTCACAGACTTTATAATTCATGGTATTTTAATAATTTTATTTGTGCAACTAACTAAATTCAATTCATTCATTACTCATATACATTTGTTTTCCTTGCGAGAGAAATTTTTGGCATGAATACATTATCTCTTGTATTATTCGTTCTTATATGAAAAATGGTATTCAGAGGAAGACACGGAAGGAAAAGAGCAGTGTTTCCAAAATTATATGTCAATTGCTTTTTATCTGTGATTTTACACTTTCAAATTCTAACATTTTCTAAATAGCTATATTTTAACTGATACAGAAGAAGAGCATATAACTGCTGAGTCTGTTATTTATCAAGCTATAGGAGATGATCCATGAGTACTGAAAATAAGTTGAAAAGCATTATAGAGGAGTTGTTTTCAGTTGCTAATAATCACAACACTCCAGGCTCTTCACGTTATACAACTCTTATTGATATTCTTCCAGAAGTATGTTAACAAACTTTTATGAGAATAATGTAAAGTTAATTTCGAATGATGAGCATGCAGACAGACAGTGATACCATACCAAGGAAATAAGCATAACAGTTTAAGTATCCTGTTAGCCTGCCAACAGGAAATTTCCTCGACAGCAGGAGGTTGTTTAGGCTGTGGACTTATGCTTGGTTCTATATGGTGGTTGCTTTAGTATTACACAAAGCTTATCTTCATGAGGTCACATGATGATGAACTTTCGTTTTAGATAATTATTTTTATATATACCGATGGAAACTAACTGATCGTATGTCTGCATTAGTTTGAAATTTCTTATAAGGCCGTTTATAGTTTACGCGCTATCAGTGCTGTGAAAACGAATGAGGAGGAACTTTTCAATATGGATAAAATCAAAAGAACATAAATAAATCGAAGGGGAAAATCGGGAAAAATATGTCAATGATTTACCAGAATTATATTCCGGATTGGATAAAGAGACCATTTCTGAATTAACCTGGAAGGATCCTTTGGCTAATCAAGTTATTAGCGATGATTCGACATTTGGTGATACAGTTGCCTAAGAATTTACGAAATACTTTTATGGGTAATTACTTATAAGAACGTCCAATAGGTGCATCATGTTCTAATTCAATCTATCATTTAGAAACTAGTGCGGAGGATGGCACCTAATTTTCTTCCATCAATTGTATAACATAATGAATTCATTGGGTATGATGGTGAGAGTTTACCGTAAAGACTTTTGCATGATGGATTATGGAGGGAACCGACTGAACAATTTGCAGATGTTGCAGTGGAAATCTTGGACATATTGTAAGTACACCCCGTAGACTTTTAATAAAGTGTTACGATGAATGGGAAACCAGATCCCCACTTTGACGGTATGTCATCTGATTTTATTAGAAGCGAATCTCGGAAGAAAGAATCCAGTATTTTGGACCTGAACTTGCAAAATCGCTAAATGAAGGTACCTATGTAACTATCATGATAGTTCCGGAAATTCGGACTTTGTTGAAGAATCCACCCCATGGAAAGTCTACGTTCATCAACACGTAAGTTTGCGATGGAAGTGGGAGTTAAAATATTATAATATCCTTCCTTAACCTGTTGTAATGCCAAACTGATTGGGTTTTTTTTTCCTCTTAGCTTTGAACCTCAAAGCATTGCCATCGTGGACAGGAAATATGGTTTAAATGAGGAAGGAAAAATGAAATTGGGGTGATGACCAGATAAACTATCATGAAAGACAGGAAAAAACTTATGAATTTATGTATACTGGGTGTTCGCATTTATTTTGCATAAAGAATAGTAAGGATGACGATGATATGAAATTGCGGCATTGGTTTACAGAAGTTGTGAGCCTGACAAAGACAAGTTTGGAATTATTAGACTGCAAGTGACGGGGTCTATGATGTTCTTTTCAGGATGGACTTCTTTTTCTTCGCGCTTTTCATCATATATTTTTGGTTGTAGTTCTGCAACCTTATAATCATTTAGAGTGTGTCGCATTCTTTTGAATGTTTGTTGACTCTTCAAAATGCGAATTCTAATTTCCTTTTACGCGAATCTTCCAAATACTTTCTTTACTCAACTCCAGATCTTTTGATGGCTTCTTCGCAGTTCACGCTCAATTTAACAGGTGGACTGGGTGGGACTGAATGTTTTTTTTTTGTAAAATCAAATAATAAAAAAAAAAATTTTTTTTAGATATATTAGAATGGATCAATAGTTACAACCATCATTTTTTTAATAACTAGAAAAATTCTTGAATTATTCTCTCTTCTAACAAAAATTACTCATTATCTTGACCAGTATACATGAGTTGGAATATAGTCGTTCATATTCTAGGGGTATTGGAAACTTTATCGGAAATCTTATTAATTTTGTAGCTTCGAAATATTTCTTGCTTTGATCGACCATTCTCTCTGAAATACATTGAGCCAGATTCGCTCTTTCCATTCAGCTGGAGTTTCATTAGAATGGATTAAAGCCATATGGCAATATTCATTCCATTCTAAATTATTAGCCTTTGATCCAAAACGTATTGATAGTTGTAAATCATCCATTCTATATGACCTAATTAGTGACTTGGTGTTTTAGACGATCATGTGATTTATATCGCATTTTTTAGAGATTATAAGGCTTATATGTAACTTGTAAGATTTAGCTCTTTATATTGACGCTTAAATCGCAATTCATTTTTGTTTGAATTGACTTTATATAAACCAACCCTCGTAATAGTAAGGTTTGATCTAAGGTTACAGGGCTCATAACCCTATCCATGTGATATACGTGAAAAATCACTCTATGTAATGATTCTAAGCATATCTAAATATTATGCCATCCAAGAGGAACAAAAGTAAAGCTATCTGTGGAGAAATTACCTTATCTGAGTCATATGCTTTGCTTTCAGAATTAAACTAAACATTTACACGAGTAGGTTTATGGGGTCCAAATTAATTTGACAATTTTAAGTCATTAAAGGAACCCAAGTTATTAGTGGCGTAGCACATTTATAAATAAATCAACCCCTTTTTTCATGAACAACATATTCCAAAATGACAACTCCTCTTTATAGTATTTCGAGTTTTACAAGGTTTTCATCTTCAAGAAATATTAATAATATTAAAAATACTTTACCATTAAAGTATGTCGAAAAACTTGTAAGAGATATATCAAAATTGTTGAATGAATCAGATTTTTATGATGTAGAAATTAAAGTTGGGGACAATGAAAATGTTAAAACTTTTAAAGCACACTCGACTATTTTAAAAGCAAGATCTTTATACTTTAAAGCAGCTTTATCAGACAAATGGGCTAACGAATCAGATAATGGTATTATTTTATTTGAGAAAAAAAATATTTCTCCAAAAATATTTGAAGTTCTTTTAACGTAAGAATTATTTATTTAATTTAAATTGATTTGATTTGATTTGTTAATTAACAAACTATTATACTTGTTAATTTTTTTAAAAGATATATTTACAATGGAATTGCCGAAATTAATATTTTACATCCTAATGAAATTTTTGAACTTCTTGAAACTTGTGACGAATTAAACTTTAATGAATTAATAGAAGGTCTACGAAATCATTTAATCACAGAAGGAAAAACATGGGTTCATCAAAATTTAATTTATCTCTATAAACGTCAATCATCTCATTTACTTCAAGATTATTTTAAAGAATTGATTTCTGAAAACCCGGAATTATTTTTAAAATCTGGAGACTTCAAATCTATTGAAAAATCAATGTTCATATCTATATTGGAAAGAAAAGATTTGGGGTTAGATGAAATTGATATTTGGGATTATGTGGTTCAATGGGGAACCAACCAAATTGAAAAACCAGGACCAAAACGGAGCAGGGAGGAGGATAATATTGTTGAGTTGAAAAACATATTAGATGATATTATCCCATTAATAAGATTCAATAAAATCTCTTCAAGTGATTTCTATAATAAAGTTTTACCATTGAAGCAATTGTTTAATACCGAAGTTTATATAGAACTGCTTGAATGTTATCTTGGTGATAAATGGCAGCCAAGGCTATTTTCTTTAAAAGATCCGAGGAGAAAAGGAAAATTAGTAAATTTACAAATGAAATGTTTGATTTCAAGTTGGATTGATTATAAAGTTGATGTATATAATATAAATAATATACCTTATGAATTTAAATTAATACTTAAAGGAACTTGTGATGGGTTCTCTAGATTAGTTTTTGAAAATAATTGTTATGACATTCAACAAACAGTAGCTATCATGAAAATTAAAAATACAGACGAATTGGTTGGTGGCTACAATCCAGTTTGTTGGAATATAAAAGAGAAGTCTCCAATTGATGAATATTTTATTGAAACAGACAAAAGTTTTATATTTAAGATTGACGAATGCCAAATTATGGACTCAATATTAAATAGAGTTACTAAGCCTGAAAGTGCAATACATCATGATAGTGGACAAAAGTTTTCTTATAAAGGAATTAATACGGAATTTCATGAAAGATCTATAAATTTTCATAATTTACATTTAATTACAAGTATTATTGGTAACAAACCTTTTTGTTACCAAAATTTCCAAAATATCCAAAAGAGTTCTAGTTTTAGATCCAAACCCATTAAAATTCACCCATTAGAAGAATATGAAGTATATAAATTAGTAAAGAAAAATTAATGGTTATTGTTATATGGAGCATACTGCAACAAAGTGAACATTTGTATTTCAGGGTTTAAAATGTAATTGTAATAACATTTTTCTAATTTTTATTATTCAATAATTAAATCAATTCATTTTATTGTCTGTGGTTACTGATGAAGATGTTAACACATTATTTAGTTCATAGGAGAAATTTGTGATTATAAAATAATTAACAAGTGAACAATTTGTAATATTTCCAATTTTTTATGGTGTAAATAAACTTATTTTTTTCATTAGTATTTTACAAAATGCTTGATCAACTTTGTTAGCTTGATCTTTAATATTGATTTTTCCTTTATTAATCAATCAATCAACAAGTCCATGTCCATATATTAAAAAAATAACTTCGGATAGAAGATCCTTTTCAAGTTTTTCATTGGTTGTTTCGGAAGCACTTTTTTTTAATTAATATTAAACTAGAACTAGAATGACAAGTAGCGATAACTACCATTCTTATGATGAAATACTTACCCATTTCTTGTCAAATGTTTTTGCTTTCTTCTCTTTGTTGTTTATAGTGAGTGATATTTTGTTGAATACGCGTTAAAACTTTCGAATAAGCATGGTGAATCTTTTCATTATAATTTATATATATATATGATTCTATGAAAAGAAAATCGCAATTTCAAGTTGTATTTCTGAAAAAAACTACCTTGTAAAGCTTTGGGGGATTATAAAACTATATGTCCGAAATTACATATCCAAAAAGAATATTATTTCAGTTATTCTAGGGTTCTATATATTTCTAAAGAAAAAATTTTTCGAGTCGTTTCCAAATTTGGATACGAAAAAAACTATCAAAAGATTGTGGTTCAAATTGTTAATTCAAATTCCAGTGAAGTATTTCAAATAATACTTTGGAAATAAAAATATTATACAGTCATTAAGATGACGCTTTGATAAATCGAAGTTTTTTATCTGCTCATATTAAAATTTATATCTCTATAAGCCAATTTTATTAAGTTTTTTTTTTTTGAAAACATATTCAGTTTAATGAGCTTTGACTGTATAGGTTTTTTCTTAAGCATTATCTTGTTTTGTGGTGTAGATGTAGATAGTAAGATAAAAACAAATCAAAAACGAATTGTAATAATCTCTCGCGCATTTGTTGTTCTTCTCAATCAAGAAAAAAATAATTAAGAAGCGCCTTGTTTTTTTCATTTCATTTGAATCCGTATGTTTCTGTACATTCTGTACATTCATTCAGCTCGTTCATTCTGAATATGAGCATGATAATGAATAATGAGTAGTTTCTATAGAACGTTTTATTTCCCGTATTACTATTTTATTGACAACGTAAAATCATTCTTTCCTACATAACCAAAATTATACTAAACGAAACAAAAAAATTTCAAGTGAGGGAAAAGGCGGTGCTACGAGTTTTGTGTCATTTTTTATTTGTTTTAATTGTTCTTCTATATTAACAAGAATAGAAGATTATTATTGTAATGATGATGTTAGCATTTAAGCGAATGAATGTATTTTTATAATCGACTGTATCAGAATGTTTATTATTACGTTATAAATAAAATTTTATGATTTAATAATTCAAAATTTTGATTTAACAGATATCTCGATTTATAATAATAAAAAACGCGTAACTATTACAGAATGTCGCACAGATCAGATGAATTATTCACGAAAAAACTTCCATTTATTCCCATGTCATATACACATACATACTAATAATACCTTAATTAATCAAAGACCGATTCCAAAGGAGTTACATAAGCTAATTTTTATGATCAGCTATTAATGCATGATCATTATCAACCTTAGACGATTATAAGAAGTGTCAAAGCAACATTTACCATTGAATACTACACGCACACACACACATATGGGAAATTGCCCTTTAATGGCTTGGATGTTAAACATTACAATCATTCTCATCTTCCTTTAGTGTACAAAAAGTTGAACTGACTGCCACTCCGAGGATATGATGATGCTCTGAGTTTTATTGATTGCATTGTTGTCAAGGAACCTCTCACTTGTCCAAAGCCTTCAAAGGACTAGATATTCTTCACCTGTGAATAATATTCTACAGTGTGTAAGTCGTGTTGCAAAAGCAACCTAACTACATAATTTGAAAAAGGAATTTTTATCAAATCTGACACACATGATAAATATCAGATTTGTTTGTTTTACTTTTTTTTGGAAATAGTTTTTAACAAATTGGAACCTTACAACTTGTGTTCCTACATGGAAACAAAGATCAGAGTATATAACATTATGTTATGTGGTCTTTTTCAAAAAAAGTATTCATTTCTGCATGGTCTTAGTATTATTACTTGGATGGTGCAATCATTTGTTATAAGCAACAAGAATCACAAAAAAAACAGATCACAAATACTATTTTGGCACATTGTGTCTCATCCTCAAATTTGAATGGAATGTAAAAAGTGAAATTGGTGTATTTTTTTTTGATACGAAGTGGGGATAGAGAGTTTATTTATATGTTCTTGTAGCAATTTATTAGACTACTCAACCAATGCATCATCCAAACCAGATCACAAATGAAACCCTGCTTATTATTATTATTTAAGAAATTTTTTTGGTCCCGATAAAATTTAATTTAATTGGTTGGAGAAATAAATGTTGCACAACAAACAATATTTTCTACCTAAAAAAAAAAATGTTTAATTTGCCACCCGAACTTCTAACTAAAATATTCAAATACATTGAAGATGACTATAAAACATTATATTCTTGTATTCTTGTCAACAAACAATGGCACAATATTAATATTCCAACTTTATGGGAAAATCCACTTGTTTGTATTGACAGCATCAAAATATTAATTAATTGTTTACTGGAAGAAGACAAGAATTTCTTGGCTAGAAATTGCATTGAATTAACTTTTAAACTATT